CCTGAAGACTAAATGGATCCCCTTGAATACAAGGGAGGTAAAGGGTGCCTAACACCTTCTCTTTTTCTAATTTACCTACTTATCTAGATACCTCTTATTTTTAGGGTTTCTCACTTTCCCTGTCCTTTCATTAGGGTAAAAGAAGTAGTGGATGGTGATTCTCATGTTTAAACGTAAATTTTTTAAGTCACTCACTACAGAAAATAAATCCTCTTGCTTCTTCATCATTTGCACAACATGACTCTCAATAATCTCAATCAAGTCATCCTTCTCTTTCAATTATGTTGAGTAGGACACCTCCTAAGTCTTGTACTTGTTCTTCCAGGCTTCCTTCTCTTGTTGCATCCTAACTAAGACAAGCTAAATTTATTCCACATCATCTAAGAGAGGAGGAGTAGTCCTTATAAACATGTCAGCTAAAGGTTCTTCACGAAAATAAGGAATCTTCAACTGAATTGCCATTGCTTGTACCCAACGGAGATGATGCTCTAAGGAAACAACTCATTTTGGTCCCAAATCTTTTCTACCCTTCTTATGAATATGGCGCCAAGCCTTTTCAATCTCTTCCTTAGCTGCCTTGCGATCTTCTCCTTCTTTGAGAAAGAAACCACTCAGATGAATATTGTTTGGCTTGTCTCTCATTGGATATCTAAGTTGGCAGCATGCAAGAACATGATTATAGTTAATTCTTCCCTTTGTACCAAGAAGAGGCACATTGGGAAAAACACCACAAATATCAATAATCTTCACATCATAATAAGCTTGATGATATCAATCAATGTCAGAATGAGTGAGAGCCATAATCTTCGGTGTCCAATGCGGTTCCTTCTTGATATCCCAAAAAGCAACATACCGAGGTAAGTGAGAAATAAACCATTGGTATAACAACGGTGTGCAACAAATGACCATCCCTCCCTGATAAAAATTCCGAAGATGGATGGGATAATAAGTATCTCCTAGAAGTGTAAGGACTGGATTCCCAATCAGAAAGATCCTAATGGCATGAACATCCAAAAATTTATCGATGTCAAGAAACAAGAATAATACATAGGTAAGCAAAGATAGCCTCGAAAGTAACTATAGTCTTCATCTTGATAAAGTAACGAGCTTTATCCAATAGAAACTGAGCAGGAAAACCCTTGATTCCTCCTTTGGTAGTCATGTTAGCCTCAATCTCAGACTTCCTCAAGTTAGTTATAGTAGCAATCTCATGAGACTTAGGCTCTCCTTCTAAGCCGGTGGAAGGAACACAATAAGTAATAGATAAACCAAGTAAGTAAGAATAATCCTCTAATATGAGCATCAACTGATAATCAAGAAAATTAAAACACTGGCAACACGGATCATAGAACTGGACTAATGTAGAAAGAATACACTCCTTCATCTTGAACTTCATAAGAGGCACAATGGCTCCATACTGCTTCCGAAAATCTATAGAACTCTCAATCTCAGGAATCAAACTCCTCAGTTACTCTATCTTAGGATCCTTGAAATTGTACTTCTGAGTCTTTCTCCTTCCAAAATCCATGGTCAAAAAAGTATCTGAGATATTTTCAAAAGTCAACCTCAAGTTCCTTGAAAAATTGTTTAAAGAATGCTCATGGGTGCATGAATTCATGATGCAACAATCACACACAAGATCACAAACATGGGGGTTCATAGGTTCGACGTCATGAGCATGAAGTCAAAGGTACTACCCTCAAGGTAAGGACTAATGGTTTATCACCTTCCTAACAAGGTTTTAAAAAGTTCCTAGAGTCTACATTCTTCCTTCGAATATTACCAACGTCCTGATTAGCCCGGTACTTAGCAATATTCTCAGGAAAAACTCGTCTGAGTGTAGAATTGCGTGACAAATACTTCCAGGTTACTCCATCATAGCATCCACACTACACCTAAAAGGCCAAGATGGGTTAAGGGTTCTACGGTCTCTCAGTTTCTCGGGATCCAAGGTCGAGGACAACAATGTCTTCTCGATTGTTCGGTAAACAAATACTACAATCAAAAGGGCCTCCACTTAGTGAGGGATATCATGTCTCCTTTTTTGGGATTCATCCCTAAAAGTTAACATGATTATACCGCCCGTCCTATCTTAAATTTTCCCAAGTCTAGGTATAGGACTTACAAGAGATCACCAAGCACCCAGAAAACTAGAAAAATATAGACATACATATATACAACAAATAATAGTACATACACAAATAAACAAATATAGGCTCAAACAACTTAGAGATTAATTCCCCAGTGAAGTCGCCAGTTTTATGTAGCGGTAGAAATGTTGAGACTAAGCCATGGGATTAACTAAACTCGCACAGATCAAATAAAAATCGTCACCGCGCTTTATTATTTCCAAAGGAAGTGGGAAAAGAGCGAATAAACCCAAAAAAGAAGGGGGAAATCTAGGTACGGGGGTTGGTTATGAAAAATGAAGGTATTAGTACGCTAAACATCTACGGTACTCCGCAGGAACCTCTTTGAAAATGTTTGTATTTTGGTTATAAAAGGTGTATACAAAATAAGATGGTGAAGATGAGAAAAGAAGTATTTTTTTACAATTTTGCATCCGCCGCGGTTGTGAACCTTTAGTGCCTACGTACCATCTTCTGTGTAATAGGGGATCAGGATACTCGTAGTACACCTCAAAAATTTTAAAACACATGTGTGTTGATTAATTTTAAGAGAAGAGACATTATCGTTATATCTGAGCGGAAAATGTACTTACTACCCACAATTATGAGAAATGAGCATTTACATCACTCAAAGTGGAGAACATCACTTGGATTTTAAATCCACAAGACATCACTAAACACTGGAGTGGTAAATGGATCACTTTACTATATATTGTAGAGGTATATTAACTTGCATCACTATAAGAATCAACAAGAGTCTAATATTTTGAGAAAAGTTTTAAAGTAAAAAGCCAAAGTGGCAAAATAGTTTGAATGAGGTTAATGACTTTTAGTCTTAAAAAAAGATGTCAAAGTATGATTAAATTGATTAAAGTTTGATTAAGAAAATATTTTTGAAAATGCATAGACCTACGTTCAAGTTTATTATGAAAGCGATTCAAGTTAGAAAACAAGAAAAATTTTAAAAAGGAGAGAGAAGATTTTTGAAATTAAAGAAGATAAGAGGAGATGAAGGGACTATCCTATGTACACAAAGTAAAAGCTAAGGTAATGGACGTTCTAACCAACAATAAGTCAACACTTAACATAAAGAAGTAAATTTAGAATTCCCATCATTTAGATTAAAAAACCAAGCAAGCATAAATACTAAACCTCTGAGGAATACCAAGATTTATATAAATTAAGTCTTCATAGAAATTGAGCAGAGTAACAACTGTATACACAGGAAATCTCAATCATAAACAAAGCATAAAATCAAAATAACCTGCACACCAAGAAAATCAACATAATTCCTTGTAGTAAACCCCGAGAACTTCAGGCAAAATAACAAGAGAGCAACAAGGTCCACAAGTATCAAGGCTTCTAATCCTAAACCCAAGAGATCCGCAACTCCATAATGCCAAGAATAGTAACCAAATAGTCCATAAAGAAATAAGTCTTTTAAGGTTTAAGTTGATTATTAAGTGTCTTTAAAATAAAAGAAAGATCAAGTGAGCAAAGAAAAAATGACATAAAAATAAATGCTCAAGTGAGTAAAAGAAAAAAAAGACATGAAAAATAAATGTCCAAGTGAGCAAAAGAAAAATGGCATGAAATGTAAATGCTAAAAAAATAAATGGTACATAAAAGTAAAGACACAAAATAAAGGCATAAAGTAAAGTAAATTGTTAGTGAATTAGAAGTTAGAGGATGAAAGTTTAGCTCAAAGATTAGTAAGCTTCAATGAAAAGCTTACTAACTTTATGAAAATGGAGCTTTGCGTGAATTTTGTAGATGGAGAGAATTGAGAGAATTTTTTGCAAGGTGCATTTTGCTATCAAAAGCTTGATAATTGAATGAAATGAGTGTTCTATTTATAGAGTTTAGGCTTGGCATTAGTGATGATTTGGAGTTTGGTTTGGAACCAAAATTAGGCTTGATAATTAATTTTTTGAGCAAAAATTAAATCAAGTGGTACAGATGTGATCAAATGAAGGTGCATGATGAAATTTAATTTTTATGAAGTGTGGAATTATTTTTTGATAATCAAGGATATTTTTAAAACAAAATAAAATTGGAGCCAAAAACTAACAAACTTGAAGATTGCTTCTTCTTTTTTTCCTTAAAATTTCGCGTATGTAAATCGATTTACATGTCTGTGAAAATTGATTTGCACAGCAAAAAAAATGAAATTTTAGTGCAAAAAAGAAATTAGAGAAATTGATTTTCTCAGAGAAAAATCACAAGAAAACTTTGCTTGTTGGATGCTTTGACTTGATACCCACAAAACACAAATACACAAAAACAAAGCAAATATTTTTGGTATTTTTATTAGAGGTTAGTCAATAACACATATACAAAATACACAACTAAGGTGTTTGGCGATCCCTTGAGAGCAAACTTAAAGATAGGGGAACGAACCCAAAGACATAACCAATCTGAAAGTGTGATCTTGATGTATTGGTGTTATGAGATGATGAAAGGATCTTAGGGGCAAAAATTGGGGTATAACAGTGGTGATGTACATCGCGTAACATTGCATATCGTTTGCATCCTCTGCATCTTGCATACATCCAGGTTTTCCAATATCTCATTCCGAGTTATTTCTTTCCTCAAGTTAGTCGTCTATCGTCAAACTGATTCCTCGACACTTTGGACTTGAAGCATGGTTCAGAAAACTATGGAAGAGCTCTAACAAGACCAGTAGTTGTTAAGAGATGAGGTCAACCAGCTAAAGGGCCAGATGAGCTAGATCATGGAAATCTTACATGTCTTGTTGAAAAGAGAAGGTATCCCTCCATTGATCTCTACAATGCAAGTGGATGCTCCTCTAGCCTCTTCCTTTGTTACTTCAGCCCAGGGGAAAACCATTCAGTGATTAATCATGTATCGATGTACGGTCTGTCCCTGAAGAATCTTCCTCAACTTGTGTTTCCAAAGGTGGTAAGTGAAAATTTTGAATCAGTTCATAAGAGTTCATACCTGGTGACTATTGGTAAAAGGCTAGAGGAGGGCATTAAAAATGGTAAAGTGTCTGTTGTTGGTGAATCCTCTAATGGTGCAAGGAAATATTTCGGAAACTTACAAAAGAAGAAAGAGGGTGAAACAATTGGTGTCTACAATGAGAGAGAAGGACCTCTCTATATGCCACAATATTATGATCAACCACAAGTAGCTGTTGTTACTCCTGTGGTCAATGCTCAACCAATTCTGTTTCCTCAACGTTAGGCTATTGGATAAAATCAGAACCTCAATGCAAGGACTAGGACTCAATTTAACCATAATCTAATGCCTTACACTGAATCGTATCATTGTTTGGTTCATCTAGGTTTAATCACAACAAGGTCTCTAACTCCTCCAGATCCTCTTCCATCCGGATTCAGGTCTGACCTCCATAGTGAGTTCCATCATGGAGCTACTGGTCATGATTTAGAACACTGCTATCCATTGAAGGCTAGAGTGCAAGACTTGGTCAGAGGATAAATAACCAATTTCTAAGCTCTTATTCCAATGTTGTCAACAATTCAGGGCATAACAAGTGAAGCTACAGTCAAACCAGTTTATCTTCCTAAAGTCAGTGTTTCAGACATGACAACTCATCCTTGTTTCTGATTAGTCACTAGGCCATATTTATTTTTGTTTGCATTTTCCCTTGTTTATGTTAAAATTGTTGCTTTCAATTTTTTTTTATGCTTCCATGTTAATTTTAATGAAATGGGCATCACACTATTTTGATTCAAATCATTTTCATTTACTGCTTTCTTTTCAAAAAAAGATATATCTCCTATTTACTTTCTTTATCAAGCTTTTGTTTATGCAAAGATTGAGGGAGGATGATGAAAACATAATACCCATCACTGTTATTGGTATGCTTTCAAATAAAACTTTGCTGATGATGTACATGCATTGTATCAATTCCCAAACACTAGAGAAATAAGGAAGTTAATCCCTTGTCAAACCCTCTGAGACTAGAAGTTGGAGTTTCTTTCTATACGGAAAAAAACCATAATTTAAACCTGGGGATGGGTAGATTTCAGTTAATTTGGTTGTGCATTCAAATACAAGATAAATCATGCAAGACAACTTTCAGTAAAGGTTGCAATCAAGCTTTCCTTTGCATATCTCAAAGAAGTGTCGAAGATATCCTTTAAATCAAAATTGAAGATGACGGTTCCCCATAATCATTAAGCTAGACAATCACTATCTTCCAAAAAATAAAAAGAGTGAAATGAAAAACCAAAATAAAAAGTCCGCTAAGTCAAAACCTATGAAGGAGACTTAGGCAAAAACTGAGGCATCTCGCTGACTGTAATCTCATATAAAACAATCCAAGCAAAAGTTAGGGATAACAAATTCAAACAAGAGTTGACAAAAGTCCTCAACAAAAACAATAAAATATTGTAAGAAGAAGTGATTGCCATCTCAAAAATACACTGGCTTCTGAGCCATCATCATTACTATTGTTAGTGCAATTCCAAAATCTCTTGGAACCTGAATGCATAGTTTAAGTTAACTGAACGTAGGAATGAAGAACATCACGAAGATTGGGTTGGATACAAATAACCTTTGAGCCTTTATCATTTGTTTCTTAAACCGTGAACTAGACCACATTACAACCCTTAAAAGACCTAATTAAAGTCAGGTTTCTTTTGAAAGCATACTACATCAAGGTTGCGCAAACTGACTCCTAAGATCTTTTGCGAATAATTTGTCTTGGTATCATACCTTTGCTTTTTTATTTCACTTTAAATATTTAAACCACTATGTTTTAACCAGTGATTCATTTTCTATACATCAATAACATCATTCCAAGAAATGATTTTGATTTCAAAACTTTTGCATGAATTTTGCACTAAAATTACCATGTTTGAATAAATAATTTTGCTTGCAAACAAGTTTTCCTCATCAAGAAATTTTAAACAGGTGAGATACTTAGTCAGTGATCCTATCAGGGGAAAGTATCTTCCGGATCCAGTTGTGAATCAGTTCAAGATTTATTGCTCAGTGCAGTTATTCTCATAATTGGTTAACCAAAAGTCCTTTTTCAAGAATCATATTGAGGCAATCCTTTCCAACAGTTATTTCAAGAACTGAAGCCATAATCAGTTTATTCCCAATAATAATCGTCTGAAGACATGATCAATTTATCCTTAAGAGACAACTAATCTGGGACCGTTTACTTCAAGAGAATCCCCAAACAACTCATTTGTCTTTTCTCAAAGGATCATCAGTTTAATACAATTTACAATTGTGACATAAGTGTTTCTCAAGAATTTTTCTTTCCAAGCAGAGTTGGCAGAGTTCTCCATGTTGAGGAGTTAGACTTTCAATATTACCTCCACAAAAGAGTCAAGCTCATTTGTCATAAACGCCTGCATTACATGCATAGATCATTCATATATCATGCATCGCAAAATTCAATATCATTGCATAACAAGAGTGTTTTATCCTCATTTGCATTTCCCGAGGTCCTGTTACTATAAACATCTTACCTTGAGATCAAAGCCCAACTTAATTGGCACCTACCAAAGCAGATTTCAGTCTGTCTGTTTCTATTCCCATCCAATACTATTCTTAGATGTGTTACTTCTAACTTTTATCCAAAGCCAACAATTAGACGTGACATTCCTCAGTAGAGTGTTTCTCACCTTGTTCAATAGTATTCTTGGATGTCGTAAGACCCTCCCTCATCAATATATTAGCTGATGTAGGTCAATTTTTCCTTCCTCATTAGTACATTAGCTGGTGTATGTCTCTTTTGTTTACCCTCATCAGTACATTAGCTGATGTAGGTTATGTTTGCTATTCCTTATTAATACATTAGCTGGTGTAGGTTTGTTTACTCAGTCTCATCAATAAATTAGCTGATGTAGATCGTCTTGCTTTTCCTCATCAGTACATTAGTTGATGAAGATCTCTTTCTCTATCCCTCTTCAGTACACTAGCTGATGTAGGTTGATTTTATTATTCCTCATCAGTACATTAGCTGTTGTAGGTCTCTTGTGTTGTTCCTCATCAGTATATTAGCTTATGTAGACCTCTTGTGTTATTCCTCATCAGTACATTAGCTGCTGCAAATCTCTTTTTCCTTCCCTCATCAATACATTAGCTGATGTAGGTCATTTTTCTCCATCTCATCAGTATATTAGTTGATGTAGATCATTCTGCTATCACTCATCAGTACATTAGTTGATGTAGGTCGGTTCTGCTCCCTCATCAATACATTAGTTGATGTAGGTCATTTTTATATTTCTCATCAGTACATTAGCTGATGTAGGTCTCTTGTGTTGTCCCTCATCAGCATATTAGCTGATGTAGGTCATTTTTCTTTTCTCTCATCAGTACATTAGCTGATGTAGGCCTGTTTCGTTCTATTCCTCATTAGTACATTATCTGATGTGAGTCGTTTTTCCTGTTTCTCATCAGTACATTAGTTGATGAAGACCATTTTGCTTCCCTCATCAGTACACTAGTTAATGTAGGCCTCTTTTGTCGTCCCTCATCAATACATTAGCTGATGTAGGTCTGTTCTGCTCCCTCATTAGTACATTAGTTGATGTGGGTCTGTTTACTTCCCTCATTAGTACATTAGCTTATGTAGGTCACTTTCCCTCTTTCATCCGTACATTAGCTGATGTTCATCATCATTTTACATCTATCGTCAGTACATTAGCTGATGTCAGCCATCCTTTGTTTCCCTTCATTAGTACATTAGCTAATGTCGGTCATATTTTGTTCTCCTTTATCAACACATTAGTTGAGAATGATTTGGTGGCGCCATTTCCTGTTCCCAGCGTGTCTTTCTACGTCATATCATCCAACTACCACAAAATTTCCAATTTCGAGTCTTTTCAATACTTTCCACAAAGCCAGTCTTTCATATTATGCATCATTCAAAAAATATATATTCAAAAATACTCGTGCATTCATCGCATTCTCATCACAATATCATTCACCTCATGCCCATTGCATTCTCAGGGTAACAATTTATTTTCTCTGATATTTAATCATCTCCCACCATGATTATATGAAGCTTGATCATCTTCATATCATCTAATTGAAAATATTTAAATAGGAGCAGCTGTTGTACACAAAATTTTACCCCGAGTTCTTTATCATTCACATTCATATATCGAATTTAATCTTCATTCACATCTTCACTTTTTTTAACGCATATTTGCATTTTTTTACTCAGGTTACATTTTTTATATGTTTATTTCATTTTTGAATAATAAAGTTAATTTTTGTTAGTTTTTTATATTTTATTTTTCATTTAATAAATTCAAAAAATATGTGTGTTTTCTTTTTATTTAATTTAGAGTTTAAGTTTTTGTTTTAGTTTATTTTATTTTATTTTTAATTTAGTTAATATAATTTATAATTATTCTATATAAAAATATCTCATGGAGAGGGCTTATTGGTCTTTCTATTAGACTTAAAGGGATAAGTTTGTTTTATTTTCATTGGTTATAAACAAAGATGGAAAACGAGATACAGGGGAGGAGATTGGAAACGGCTTCTGGAAGGGAAAATTGAATCTATTTCGAAAATTTATTTCCTTCTTCATCAATCGTCCATCAACAGCATCGTTTAACCTCCAAACCGTAACACAATACTCCCTTCGTCCATTCCGCTCACCATCGATCCCTTCTCCTTACCGTCAAACAAAACACCACCGCACCTACATCAGCTTCCGTCGTTCCCGATTCAACATACATCCTCCGTCCACTGCTTCCAGATTCTACAACAATTTACTTCAGCTCACTACCTCTGTTCGTCAGATTCACGCGAGATTCACTTACAATAACCTTTGCTCTCTGATCCGCGACGCATCAGCATCGGATACACTCACTCACTTCCGCGGTTTCGATTCTCCGTAACTGTTTCTGAATCGGTAACTTCGATATTGCACTTTGTTGATTATATGTTGTGAAACGGTGTTAAGTCTCTGAGGATAATAGTTTGTGATTGTGTTGGTGTTAATTCTCTGAGTTCGGTAATATGCTGCAAAAACCTGTGATAAAATTCTGTTCCATATTAAACAGATTGCTGCATTCTTGAAACTTGTTGTTTGTGCTAAGGTTTGATTTTGGTTTTGGTTTTGGTTTTGAATCTGAGTAAGCAAATCGCTGACATTGTTATGTCAAAGTGTATCAAATTTGTTGTTGAGAATTGTTTCAATCGTCAAATTTATAATGAATTAGCGATGAAGTTGTGATGATTTTGTTGTTCTGATTTTTGTTAAAGATAAATAAGGAAGGTGTTCATGACTTTTAAGTTCATCTCATTTGATGAAGTTTGGTTTGGGTTTGTAGGTTGTTTCTTCTTCGGTTCTAAGTATGTTGGAATTGGAATTTTGGGCTTATATTTTTTTTATGTTCATGGCTATCCGGTTTTGGTTCATGCGATTTAAATGTACTTAGAACTTGATTTTCCATGTTTCGAATGTGAATTGATAATAGCTTGAGTTTATTTGGTTTTAGTTTTGTTTGTGAATCAAAATCTTTAAATGATCACTTACTTGGTTTTTGAATTGTTCATGTGCATCATACAAGTTTCATTTTGATTTTATTCTCTTGTGATTACTAACTTGTTTATTTGTTTGTGAAGGCTTTCAAGATAGCTTGTGTGTTCACTTCATCTTGACACCAGTTTGTTGCTTTAGTTAATTAACTAAAAGTCGATTTAGTTATTTAATTTTGTTAATAAAAATTAATTAGTTTCAACTAATTAATTTTTCTTAACTTAATTAATTGACTTAATCAACTTTTAAGTTAATTAATTAAACATTCATTTCTATATTTCATTTGTTTCATTTTAACTTTGATACAGGTTTCTAGTCCGCTCGGACTTGATTACATGAGATGTTCATATTTATTTCTCTGTTATACTAGTTTCGTCTATCTGTTGGAATTTTATCTAATATAGTGACTTTTATCCGACACCTTGAGCTTGCTTGATGCACCTCCCGATTGTGATTTATTTTTATATCGATGATGCTTCGACACTTATTCTGATGCTTATCTTCTGACTCTTTTTTTTATTATTAGTGAAGCTTACGCGAAAATATTCGTGTTTCTTTTGCTTGGATACGCTTTGCTACAGACTTTTTGTTTGCTTGGTATTTTATTTATATTCCGCATTGTCTTTTAAATTCCTTGTCATGAGAAGTAGGAATAAAGATGCATGCATAAAAGTCCCTACTTTAGGTGGGAAATTTTGTTTAAAGTTCTCAAATGAGACAACGTTTATGTTTGTTCAAAGACCTCAAAAGAGGTAATGTTTGTGTTTGTTTAAAGACTTCAAAAAGAGACAATTTTGCTAAAGTCCTTAAAGAAGGCAATTCCCCTTCTCTTTTACTTTGTGCTTGCTATCGAGTCAATAAATGGAGGAAATAGCTTGCAATCGACCCCTACATTTTCTAGTCCGTGTCGTTCTTAGCTTGCGTTATACGTTGATGCTTTGAACAATGTTTATTCTTGTCCTTTGAGTCAAATAAAGTGGAAAAGGGTTCATAACCAATCTCCCACACTTTGTTATTTGTTTCAACGATGTTAGCTCACGTTTATTTAAATGTTGATTTGAGTTATTACTCAATATCAGTGTTTGAGCAGATCAAGTGAAAGAAGTTCCTTACTCCTACTTTAAAATCCATTAGATTCATTGTTTGTTGCTAGCTCACACTTGATTGTTGTTTTGGTTTTGGATCGACTTTGTCCGATCACATTTGTGTTTATGTTTTTTTTTCTTTAGACCTTTTTAGGATCACTTGTCTCGTTCTCGATTCAAGGTAGACATTAGGTTTGTAAACCATGCATGCTAACTTAGGTAGATATTTTCCCTTTGTATCAAAACTATAGGACCACCATTGCATGATAATATTAGGATTGTTAGTCTCCCATAGACTTTTTCATTCCCCTTTTGCATCATTAAAATAAAGTTTCTTTTCTTAATAAATGTTAAACCACATGAGCATATTCAAACACTTTTCAAAAAAACTAAAAGACATTTAATCTCATTCAAACCTTTTTGTGTGCTCAAGCACCTTTTACCTTTAAAACTTTTTCCAAGATTAGACATGATTCATTTATAATCGGGATGTTCTTCCTTTATTTCCATGGTTGTCGACTTCTCCACTTGAGTACTAGAGGTTTCTTAAACCCTCCCTCATGTTGGTGCATAGTCTTTTTTTCTTTATCATACCTTGTGGACGTTTAGACGAGTCTTCTTATTAAAAATGATGATTTGTCTCTTCATTTAAAATCAACCAATAAACAAGTCTTTTTTAGGAGAACTACGAGTGCCTTGATCTCATACTGCATGAAAGGTGGTACGTAGGCACTAAAGATTTACAACCGCGGCGAACACGACTAATAAAACATTTTGCTTTGTACATACATTTTGTATACATGCGTTTTCCCTTAGCTTGATTAACTTTAGATATGAACACCATTTGATTAGAACAATAAGAGTGAATCCTGTGGAGTACCACGGACGTGAGGGATGCTAATACCTTCCTCTTATGTAATCGACTCCCGTACCCGATCTCTCGATTATAAGATCGTGATTGCTTTCTTCAAGTTTTTCTTTGATGATTTTCCTTTCCCTTCTGTGGGATAAATAAATACTTGATAACGACTTCATTGATTTTCTCTCGATGATTTTCTGCCGATTGCTTCAGCCATAAGTGGCGAAGAAGGAATAATTAGATGTATGTCCCTTTGTTCTGAGTACTAGAACGTATGTTGTATAACTTGTCGTTCAAATGCTCATATTCACCCATGAATTTTAATCCAGTTCTTGTAAAACACCGTTTGCAATAAAGGAATGAAAAATGACTAGTTAGACGTATGCCCCTCTTTTCCAGAGTATTTGGATATGTACTGTATAACTTGCCTTTCAAATACTCGCCTCCCACTTAAAATGAATCTCAACCCATGAAATTTTTTTATCGCCTTGGCGCAATTCTGAAAACCATTTCATAAACAATTGATGCTTGATCTATTTCGATGCGAAACTCGAACTAACGCTTTATTCTTCCCATGTGCGAGTAGAAAGCAAGATTGTCCACTTGAATGTGAGTGAGGCATAATCTACAAGAATCCGAATTATGTTTATCCATTCGAAATGCGATGAACGCACAACATTCTTTACTCCCATGACTGGGTAGTAAACAATGTTTTCCGCTCGAATACGATCCAAGAATATTTCTCTAAAATCGATCAACACACAATCATTTGCTACCCAGAACTATGTAGTCTTTAATTTCCCATCGCACCTGAGAATACGTAAGAGCGAGATTCAACATCTCTTCAGACACATTAATAAAAAACCCTAAAAATGTCCCCTTTATTTTCTTTATGTAAATATCGCGCAATAAGTAGAAGATCGCAAGTAACATCACGCTATGATTCTTTTGCAAAACTAACTAAATGTGTTCCGTTGAGTACAAAAGATGCAAGGGATGCTAATACCTCCTCTCGCATGACCGACTCCCAAATTCTAATGTGGTTGCGATGACCATATCATTGTTCTTTGAGGGTTTTATCGATATTTTTCTCTTTTCTTTTGGAATAAATATAGTTCGATGGCAACTCTGTTGTATTTCGAGCGTTCCTTACGCTTGTGTATTTTTTACGCCGCAACACCTGTGATAAAACCAAGGTTTAAGGTTCATGAGCTCAGCATGTGATAAAATCTTACAAAGTTTGTTTATAGGCTTGAAGACTAATCGCTCTAATATTCTAGTAAAAAGAGGACTAACTATTTCGATCTAATGCGTGGAAAGGAGACTAACTGCTTTGATCCACCGTTAAAAAGAGAAGACTCAAACTGCTCAATTCCTAATCTTATTGTTTGATTGGAAGTCATCGACTTTACTTATATAAGGGGGTTTGTGAGTATTACCTACTAAAAACTCTCAACGTTTTTGGATACTCTCAAGATTAATTTTTAGAGAGAGAAGTAAGTCTTTTTGTTTTGACCTAACCTCTAAAATTCTTGGTTTCTCTATGAATTTTCCAACACATGCATTAATCAAAAGAGGATAATGATCACTCCAGTTAAAATCTCTAGGGCCAATTAAAAAAAATGAAGGTTACATAAGTGTATATCAAGAAGATTATAGAGATGCGTTTCTAAATTGTTTTTTTGATAAATAGGAATGTGTTACTTGTAAATCTTTTTTGTGTGTATTAGATGCATCTGAATATGTATCTATGTAATATGAAAGAAAACAATCGAGATTTTAATATATTCACCCTCATCCCATATGGTGAATAAGATAACCCCCATTTTTTTATGATAAAAGAAGGTCTAAATTCAGACAAGAAAACCACTCTATAACAAGCCCATTATAACTTTGGCCTACAAGGTCTGCAAAGTAAACTGAATTTAGTTGTGGAATACACTCATTGTAGTTCGTAAGACTACCATCTCCACCATTCTGAATGGTTCCTAATCTCGTGAAACCATTTGCACAACTGTTAGATTTTCTATAAATCTTGTCTACTTGAAAATATCTCAATCATATGGTTTAATAATTCTCTAGTTCGTTGAAGCAGCCCTCGATTTGGTCCTATCAAGAAAGTTTCAACAATGGTTGAAGAATGAACTTCCTTGCTATCGATATGAACTTCATTTATTATGCTCTCTTTCCACTACTTGAACAAGACCCTCATACATCTCCTACCACTCAGAATATTTTTTATGTATATATTATTTTAGACGGAGTATAATTTTATAATCTTTAATTTTTATTTGCAACAACTGTGAAATTATTTTATTGCAAATACATTAATAATAATTTTTATATAAATATCTTATAGCATAAAGTATTGTCCTTTTCATTTAACTCGGCACGAAAGTATGAAAAGAAATA